AGAGGCTGAGGGCAGAGCTGGCCACACAACTGTGCCTGCACCTTGAAACCCCCTAGACTCTAAAACATCTTGTACTGCTGCATAGAATTGTTAAAGGACTTTCTCTGCAGTGAAAACTCAATTGATGCTGTCAGCACCTGCAGGCACAGGGGAATAAATGTCATGGGGGGGTCTGTCAGCTCTGCAAGGTGGGCACGGCTGAAGCCACTGGCAGCTCTTTTGCTGGTGTCACCAACCAGCTGTTCAACCTTCAGGGGTGGCTGGAAAACTGGGATTTGGGGGGGAAATGGGGGGAATGGGGTCTGCTGCCTGCTCCTCCCAGCTGCACTCCCTGCAGGCAGGGCTGTAGAGGGAAGGCACTGGTGCAGTGTCAGGACTGCCAATATGTGGTTAAATGTTTGAGGCTGCACTAGAAATTGTTGATTTCTAGCAAACCCCTCCAATAACACCCTCCATTCAAAAGGCTTGTGTGACACCAGAGATTAAAGTATGAATTACCCAGCTTTAGCCACACGAGTGTGGCTGCAGCAGCACAGACTTTGGCTGGGGATGTCAGGGCGCTGTGCCCTTACTGTGGTGTAACAGCGTGTGCTGAAGGTCGTTGGGGTGAAAAAGTCCTTCCCCTGCCTGAAATGGGACACACGTTTTATACCAAACAGGACCTGGGCTCCTCTTTTGCAAAGTGGGTTTTTCTCTGTGCTCAGGAAGCTGCAAAGCTTAATTAAGATCCTTAGAAGGACCAAAGGTGCCATATAAATTCAGGAGATTATTATAAATGTCACTGCGCTTTACAAGCTCTGGAAAAACTCAGAGGAGGAATAACAAGACCTTTCACTTCACAGCCCTTTCTAGCAGGGCTACTTAGAGCTTCGTGCTTCAGCATAGCAGCCATAAAATGTTGACATTTATAATTAGATGTGCATAATAATCTCTTTATTCCCGAGCTGAAAAGACAGGGTGTGTCTGGAGACGTCAGTCCCTCCTCCTTGCCAAGGATCCCCCTCATTGGGGTTGCTCATGAAACCATCAGTTGGTGAAATGTCTCGGGGGCCTGGTTTGAAGAGGTGTGGGATCATTGCAACTCCCCCAGGGAGCCGTGGGCTGGCCATTTAGTGAATAAAACCAAAGCCTCCGTGTGTTTTTAATCTGATTAGTTGATGATAATCCAGCGGTATCATGCAACAAAAACTGTCCAGCTTTATTAGGCAATCTCTTGTTTTAAAATAACTGTGCTCGAGGGAGCACTTGCCTCTGCTGCTTCTGCTGAAGATTGGCAGAAATAGGTGATTTTTGGTGGTTTTAGTGCTTTGTGAGAGTAGGATTAATCTGGGGCTTGGACAGCTGGGGATCGGATTTTGGTCCCATGGGTGCCATCAGTGGCATTATGCAGCCCCTCTGCCAAAGGGGCTAGGGGCTGGGCAAAGGGCTGAGGGGGAGGGCTGGGGCTGAAAGGGGGGGAAGGCTGGTTCCCAGAGCACCGTGTCGCTCCTGGATCGATGGTGGGGGATCTCTCTCCGAGGCCCGTCCTGTACCAATCCCGGATCAAGCACTGGGTCGGTCCCGTACGATGCCAGTCCCTGAACACCGGCTCGGAGCTGTATTGAGGAGGATGGAGGATTCCCAAGGGAGCCGGTCCCGAACCACTGGCTCGGTCCTGGATCGAGAATGGGGAATCTCCCACCAGCTCGGTTCCGAACCCCGCCGGTCCCGAAGCACCGGGTCGGTCGCGTACCACGCCGGTCCCGCTCCCCATCGCCGGTCCCGGACCGCGCTGCGCGTCCAGCCGGACCCCCTTCAAAGCGAACCGATGCTCGGGAGCCCGGGGCAGCCCGACCGAGGGCGGAGCGGTGCCGGTGCGGCGGGATGGGCGGCCCGGCCCCTGCCCCGCTCGACGCCGCATCACGGTGAGTGACAGCCGCCCCGGCCCGGCCCCGCCGCACAACCCGCCGGGCTTTTCCAATCAGGCCGGGCCGGGGAGGGATTTCCTGCCGGGACGGGGCCGGCCCGAGCGGGACTTTGCAGAGTGCCGCGCCGCCTGCGAGCCGGGACCCGCGGCTGCGCTCCGGTACCGGCCCCGCTCCCGCCCTGCGCGGCTCGGGAAGTTGCGGCCGGGCCGGGCCGGGCTCGGCACTGCTCGGTGCGCCGCGCTCCGGAGCGGCTCCGCACGGCGCGGGCGGGTCCGCTCCGGTGCCGTCGGTTCGCTCCGGCGCGGTTCGGTTCGCCCGGGCGCCGTTCGGTTCGCCCCGGTGCGGCGGGCTGGGAGCGCCGCCAGGTGAGTGGGGCCGGCGGAGCAACTCGCCCCAGGATCCGCGGAACAACTCGCCTCGGTGGGGGCAGAAATCCCCCCGAGCTCCCCGGAGGAAGGAGCCGCCCCGCGCGGGGGTCTCGGGGAGGCGGAGGCGCGGCCGGGCGGGCAGCGAGGGGGGCCCGGGCGCGCCCGCAGCGGGGCTGGAGCCTCCCGGGGGAACCGCGCTGCCCCCACCGCCCCTCGGGACCCGGCCGGGTGCCTGCAGCTCCTTTGCATCTTTCCTCCGCCACTTACGTAACTGGTTTGGGTTTGTTTGGGGTTTTTTTTTCCCCCCCTCTTCTCCCTCCTTTTTTCCCCCGGCGCTGCCGTTGGCTGCGGGAATGTTTAGGATACTTTGATTCTCCAGGTGGATTCCTGGGCTGGAGGCTCAGCTCTGCTCGTGTGGGAGGGATGTTTTGCTGTTGCTTTTCCAGCTTTGAATTTTTCTTGAATTATACCTTCGCTGCTCCTCTCTGGGGAGGCTGAGGAGGTGCAGGTCGGCATTCGGAGCTCTCGGTCCCTCCGAGTTGCCCGCTGAGCCCCGCGTGTTCCGGGAGCCGAAGCAGCAGCACCGGGGCTGTTTTCCAAGAGAGCGGACAGACTTTTCAAATACAAAGTCGTCTCACCGCGTCACGTTCGCTTCTTGTGAGCGCTCTTGAGGAGCAGCAGAGAGTGGATGCAGTGCACAGGTTTAAACGAAATAGTTCTGAAGACGGTGCGACACAGGAGGTTTCGGGAGGGGATTTGTTTGCAGCGAGAGGTTAGTGTGAGTCAAGTGGCTGAAACTTTGTTGTAAGGTAGATAAGCTTGTGCATGTGCCCCAGGACGAGGGGAGGTGACGGCTGACCCCGAGGGGGACCAGCTTCAGTGCCGAGGGATTCATCAGCTGAATGAGTGTCGGTGGAGGGAGAACCCCCCAGCCTGGTGTGGGAATCACACACCCCCTTGTTCCAGAAGCCAAGGCAGTACCTGAGGATCATCTTTTCATCTGCCCTGTGCTGCTGCACCCTGGGGAGTGCAGGAACACGGGGAAGCCGTGAGGGGTCCATGTTTATGTGAAGCTGCAGCTCCCGGCTGAGCAATGCTATGCCATGGGATTCTCCTTCTGGTTTTGCCCCCACCCCAACAGGACCTGTCATTGTTGCCTTGTCTCGCCTGTGATTTCCATGCTCTGAACAGTGACCTCGATTGCTTGGAGGAAGCAACACCCGCTGTTACATAAACTGTGGAGAGCGAGTGCTCTAGGAAGGGAGACTCCACCGAGCCACCAGCTGGTTCTGATCCCTTCTGGATGGGCAGAGGGGAAGTTGTGGGGTGATCTGGCGATAGCCTCACAGCTGGCACGGTGTGTGCTCCCTGCTCTCCTGCACGCACGCTCCTCCCCAGCGTTGGAGCAGCCTGCCAGGTGCATGGCCCTGAACTAGGAGAGATTTTCTTGCCACACAGTTTGGGCAGCCCGGGTGCACTGTGGGAGCACAGGCTGGGACATGTGAACTGCTTCTGCAGGACCCTATGCCCTCTCCAGGGTACCCTGGCTGGCCAGGATATGGCTTTGATCCTGTTCTGAGCACAGTTGTCTTGCTGAATTACACCCAGCTCCTCACTGGGGCCGGAGAGAGCTCCTGAACCTGTGAGGTGTCTTGGGTCCCAGGGCATGGAGCGTCCCGGGAAGTTTGGAGGGTGAGGGTTTATCCTTGCACAGGAGGAGAAGAGTGTGAGACAGGCTGACCCACTCCCATGGGCTGCAGAGAGCTGTGGTTAAACCTTCCCAGCTCCATTCCTTGTGTACTGCCACCGGGAAAGGAGAGGGGGAGACGTCGTGTGCCCCAAGCCCCGTGTGCTGCCCTCAGGGAGGACGTGGTGTGTGTCTGGCCCCAGGAGGGCAGGGAAGGAGCATTGTCCTGTCCCGCTCCGGGGGCAGCACCCTCGGGAGGTTTCCTCCACAGGTTCTTCCTTCTCCGTTTAACATAAGGACGAGCCAAGTCCCTACAGGACTAAATATAGTCAAAGTATTCGTTCTTCAGCACGGATACAAAAGCTGTCGCGACGGAGCCGGGAGGTAAATGGCCTTTGGGGGCTGACTCTGCTCTTCCCTCCGCAGGTCCCGGGCTGCCGTGCCGGGGCTCGGCTTGCACAGGGCTCCCCAGCGTGCCTGCAGTGCCGTCACCGAGAGGAATGCCGAAACGAAGGGGCTAATGAGCACCAGAGAGGGAGGATCTATAACTTCCAGATGGCAACGAGCCCGTAATCCCTTTGGGATGAATTAGGGACTCGTCAACGCAGCAGAGCCTGCTGAAGGGAGCAAAGCACACCACCTCTGGCTCCAGGAGTGCTGTGAGAGGCTGAGGGCATCCCAATGCTGCCAGCGCTGGACACCCTGCCTCGAGCTGCCTGGCTTTGTCTCACAGAGCTCTTGTGTTGCTGGGAGCCTGTCCCCGAGCACTGAAGTAATTTTTGTTTTAACTGATTGCATGTTCTCCAACCAAACCCCATCTGGGTCCTGCTCCTCCTGATGCAGAAAGGGACTTCTGCCCTTAACAGAAAGACTTCTTCCTTCTGGTTTTTATGCCCTGTGGGATTGTAAAGTGTCTTTCTTCCTGGATTTCATCTCTCATCAAAGTGTGTTTTGAGGAATTAGGGGCTTATTCCCATGGCTTTATAAACCTCTGGGATCTGAGGGTTTCTCCGTTGCTGCTGCTCCCACCTGCCTGCGATGGGGCGCGAGCAGGAGCTGATCCAGGCCGTGAAGAACGGGGACGTACCTGGAGTGCAGAAGCTGGTGGCCAAGATCAAGGCGTCCAAGAGCAGTGAGTACCTGGGCAGAGAGCCCTGGGCTCCCTCCCCCTGGCTGGGCACTCCTGCCAGTCCTGGGGCGTGAGTCTCAGTGCTGGCCAAGCCGGGGTGCAAGTGCTGGCTCTGACCCCCGGCTCATGAGTTATGCTGCGGCCGGAGGCAGGAGCGCAAGCACAGCCCGTGCGGATGAATGACTGGGCTGTAAGCAATCCTACAGCTGAGCTGGGGTTCCCCTTGGGCTCGGGGCCAGGGGCCCTGCAGTGTGGGCCACTGAGCAGGGATGGGTGAAGGGAAGCAGCCGTGGCGGGGGGAAATGAACCGCTTTGGGGGGGACGCTGCTACAAAGGGTCTTTAGCGGTTGCTGCTCACTCCCAGCCGTATTTATCTTGTGAAAAATTATCATCCCAGCCAGTCGACTGGAACCAATCGTCAAGCCTTGAATTTCAGTCTGGTAATGTTTAACCCTTCAGCAGGGCTGTTTTCTTGCTTGTGCTCTTGGAAAGGTCAGCAGCAAGCAGAGCTTGGAGTGAGCAGAGGGCTTGGGGGGGTCCCCAAGGGCACCGGGGTCCTGCAGACGCTGCACAGCATCTGGAGGAGATGGGGAGGGTGGAAAGGTGGATGAGATGGTGGCCACTGCCACGGAGCCTGTGTATAGAGCTGAGCTCCTGGCCGTTTCTCCTGACAGACCAAGAGAAGGAAACTGGGAAAAGTAAATAAAAGGGCTCTTGATGCCATGTCTGGCTGGGGGAAGGTGCACCCTGGCTGCCCAGGCTGTGGGAGTGTGGATACCTCTGCCAAGGCTGCTCATCGTGGGGGGTCTCATGGGGGTGGGTGGAAAAGCTGAAGGGGAATAAGCTGTCCGGAGGAGGGAGAGAGGAAACTCAGGCAAGAGAAGGCTTCTTAGGAGCAGCTCAGAGCAGAGAGACTGGCACGAAGAAACCCGACTTAGGCTGAGGATTATAAATGTGAGGAGGGGATCAGCTCCCCTGGGTCATCTACTGGAAAGCTTTGATTGGGCCAGAACTTTGCAAATCTCAACTGCTGAGCTTTCAGAAGGGCTGGGAGCCACCTCCTCCCCAGAACAGGGGCATCTGGTGCCCCTTCCCTGGGTGAAGGTACTGGGTGCCATTGCCTCTACTGCTCAGGGACTGTGCCTGTACAGGGTCCCTGAGCTGAACAAGAGCAGTCTGCCCATGTGGATGGGTTGAAGGACACCCCCAAGGCAATAAATAATGTCAGGACATGAGTGTCCTGCTGGCTGACGCAGCCCTAATCTGGTGTCCCATGGCCGGGCAGTGTGTGCGGGCTGGGGTGCTCATGGCTCTCCTCCTCCTGCACACCCAGAGGGGTGAAGTCACACTTGTTTTCTCCTGTACCCTCCAGTAACTCTCTCACAGTTCAGTCCTGTCTGTTTTCTCTCTGGAGTCTTCCCCTCCCTGCAGCCGTGGGGCACCCACGTGAACATGTGTGTTTAACTCCCCCGCTGCAGCGGCATCAGCGGCTCCCTCAGCTTATTTTCATTTTATTCCTTTATAAGGAGGGGCCAAAAACCCCTGACCCCTCCAAGGCCACTGCTGCAAGCCCTCAGTGGGGCTCCTGTGCTTGAGCTGCTGTGGGGCTTGCCTTGTGCTGGAGGCTCATCCCTGGCATGGAGGGCACCACTCCTCCCCGTCCCTTATGGTTCCCTTTCCCTCTTCTCACCGATGCCATGTGAGCCAAGCATTTGCTGCCTTTGCTGCTCATTAAAGTGCCTTTTCCATATGACAGGCTGAGATGCTGGGGTTTTTTTGTTTTTTTTTTTTTTTTTATTATATATTTTTTTAAATCCCTCTAAGAGTCCTTCTGCTGTCTCAGTGGATTGGGAGCTCGATCGCTGTGATCAGCCCTCTGGGGCTTCCTGTGCCTAAAAAAGTCACCGCACGTAAGCAAAATCCAAGCGCCAGTCCCGGCAGCGGGAACTTCAGGGACACGTTTAATATTCTCCGTGCGCAGCCTCCTCCCCGCGCAAGCGCCGCCGCACAAGTGGGTCACAGCACCTCTCATTCCGAGGTGCTGGGGCGGGCAGGGACAAGATTTTTGGGGGCGGGAGCCAGGAGGGAAAGGGCAGGCAAGGGCAGTTGTCCTGCCTGCGGGAAGGGGACGGCGCGACGCCGTGGTCACTCCTGCAGCCAGGGAGGGGGTTCTGGTCTGGGAGAGCCAGGCTGCTCCTGCCGGGCCAGCCGTGCTTTGCTGAGGCTCCCTGGCAATGGAAACATCCCGCTTTTTATTTTCCTTCTACCTCTCCCCTCCCCTCTGCCTCGGGAGCGTTGCAGAGTTTAATTGAAATTGTTAAACGACCCATCACGGCTTTGGCCTCTCTCCCCCGCGATCAATCACGTCCCTGGGCGGCTGCCCTCGCCAACAATGCACCAGTTGGCCCGGCTAGGGCCAGCACCGAGGGGCTGGGGCTCCCGGGGGAGGTGAGAGGCAGAGCCCCTCTGGCCAGGGATCTCTGGGGCAACAGCTTCTGGAGCTGGACGGTGCCCAGCAAAGTTTGGATGTCCTCATCCCTGAATGCAGGATCCAGGGACAGGGGATGGGGGGATGCCAGGGTGATGCTGGGAGAGGGGGAGCCCCTGTGATAGCGGGGGCTGGAGGAGCTGTGAAAGGCGATGGGAGCTGGACTCACTGTTTGCCTTCCTCAAGGGAGTGGTGAAGGTTTTTGTTTAAACGTATGCAAAGTACAAAGAAAGGGCAGCAGCTGAGCAAACTGGTGTGAAACTCTCAAGGACAGGGAGCAAAGCCCTGCTGGGGTTCAGCTTCTGCCTTGAGGAGGTTCGGTCAGCCACTTGCCCCATTTCACCAGCTATGTTGGTGCTTTCCAGACCATAGATATTAAGGACTGGGGTGGGCTCATGGGACATGGCTGTGTCTGGGCCATGACCTAGCAAGTCGTTAAATGCTAGCAAAGCTTGCAGAGGGGTCTTGGCTTTATCTCCATGCCTGTGTTGGAGCCTCTCACCACTGTACCCCAGCAGCACAAAGCATGTTAAGGTTTTCTCAAGAGCTGTGCCAGCCCTCAGATGCTGCTGCCACCATCCAGTTTGGCAGGAGAAGGGCAATGTTGCTCCACGTGCTGTGAGACTGTAGCAGGCAGATGTGGGATAAATCACTCCTTCTCTCCCCCTTGAATTTCCTCCTAATCCCTAGTAGCTGTATCAGCTTAAGCCTCAAAGCATGAGGTTTAATATCTCTCCTGTGATTTGTTAGCCATTGCCACTGGCACCCTGTGTCCCTGTCCTCTGCAGAAACATCTGCCCTCCTTTTATGACCTGCTGGGATTTATACTTCTCCCAACACCAGCAGGTCTGTAGTTGTTTGGGGGAGAAGTTGCTCCTTTTTTGCAATCTGTTAGTAATTTTGTAATAGTGTTGGATGTGCCTTTGTGCTAGGCAGCATCCCCCCTTACAGAGGAGGACTATCCTCCTCTTTGCTGCTGCTATTGAGCGAGGCTTGTCCGGGGGTACTCCAGGTGCAATTCCTGGTCTGGCTGGAGAGCAAAGCTCAGACTGGCCTTGGGCAGGATCCTTATCGTGTCAGGCTCTGTTACACCCGATGGCTTTCCCTGGTGGCAGTGGTGCAGGGGTGTCTGGGCACCTTTCCTGCTCCACTCCTGCCCTGGGCAGTGCAGGCGGCTGCACCCGGCTCTGCCACCGAGCACAAGTGTGGCTCTGGCCACATTCCCTGGAGCCCAAGTTTCGAGGACGAGTTCCCAAAGCGTCCTTGGCTGTGTCCTCCCCTCCTCTCCCCGCACGCTCTAGGTCTGACGGGCTGGACCGGCTCCGCAGCCGCGCTCCGACTTGGAAAGGCTGTGGGCACGCCTGCGGAGAGACGCTGAGAAACTCTGCCGAAACGGGCAAAACTCCCTCTTCCTCCAGGACTGAGCCAGGAGCGGGGTGAGGCACCGTGCCCAGGGAGCTGGGCTGGTGGTGGCCTCGTGCCGGGGACCCCACCACCCCACAGCGTGCCCAGACCTGCTCCTGAACCAGCCTGTGGTGGGTGGGTGGGTGGGGGGAGCGGGAGAAAAGAGCCTTCAAAGGCTCTGGAGAGTGCGGCAGCCACGAGGCTGGATGGTGGTGGGGCTGCAGCTCCATGGCAGGGTGGGGGTCAATCCTTTCTTCCTCTTCCTGTGGCTCCTGACCTCCCTGTAAAGGGGGATCTCCTCTGGTAGCCTGATGTTTGCTGGGTGGGTTTTCCCATCCTGGCGTTCGCACCTCTCCAGCTAGGAAGGAAAGGCCCCACACAGGCAGCAGAAGGAGTGAAGGGATAGTTGGTTTTCAAAGCTGGGCTCCAACTGGTGTTGTGTTTGGAAAGGGGCCCGGCTGCCACTGGAGTGCCCGAAGCCAGGGAAAGAGTCGCTGTGCCAGTGCAGGAGATAAGGGACGAGGAAACAGCATCACACAGGGAGATGGAGGAGCCTGTGCTGGGCATCAGCTGGCCCAGCCCCTGCCCCCTGCCCCCCATTTCCCTGTGTTCACAGCTCCACATCTCCCCCTGTCCCAGGTCTGTATTTCTGTCCTCAGCCTTTGGACGCCCATTGGCAGGGCAGCCTGTGGTCCCTGCTGTCAGCCTGGGCCACTGCAGCTGACTTTTTCTTGTCTTTGTAAAAGAGTGGGGGGAAAACCAGGCTAACCCTTCTGGGGAAGGGGATGAATGTGGAGACTTTTGAGTCTGCTCCAGGTCATGCTGCCATCCTTTGGAGATCGTCAGACAGCACTGGGGTATGCCAGGGAATCTGGGATCTCCTGGAAATGTGGAGGTCCCTCAGGGCCATGGATGGAGCCAGGCTGGCAGCCATCCCCAGTGTCACAGGCAGGAGGCTGAGGTTTGGGACAGGAGGGGAATTTCCATCCCTTGGGCATTTCCTGGTGACTCAGCCCAGACCAGGGGGCTCAGCTGCCCCTCCCCAAGGGCTGCAGAGGCCGTTTTGGCTGTCTGACCCAGAAACACATGATAATTCAGATGACGACGGCTC